CACTGTGTGCCAGGCACAGGGCGAGGTGCTGGGGACCTAGTGGGAGGCAAAACAGACCAGGGCCGCGGCGTGGCGTGCGCCGTGCGTCTCAGCTCCGTGCGCCTTCACCACTCCAGAACACTTAAGGAGGGCTCCCGCGTGCCCAGGGCTATTTTAAGTGCAAATACCTGTGTGTAATAAGAGCTGGGATGCATTCCGCTGTCGTTTATTTCTTAAAAAATCAATTAAAAAAATAAAGAAGATCACTTTCTGTGATCCCGGCCCTGACCACAGACTCGGCTCTCAGTCTGGCCAGTGGGAGCAGCTGGGAGTCTCGGGGCAGCTCGTCCTGCTCTGGCCTCTGGCTGGCCCCCCACCAGCCCGGCTCTGGGCCCTTGACCTCATCCTGCACCCCGAGGGTTCTCAGGATCCCCCCTCGAGCAGCGAGGACCTGTCCCCACCTCAGGATGAGGCTCAGGTGCCCCAACGCAGTGGAAAGTCGCCTCCCGATTTGGAGGCCCTGGGAGCGTCCCTCCAGCTGAGGACACTCGGGACAGACCCTGCCGCGGACCCCGCTGGACAGAACAAACTCACGTCTCAAAACGTGACCGAGGGCCCATTTTTCGAAGCAGAATCTTTAAAATGCGATCACGGAGGCTCTCCGAGGTGTCTCTGAGTGAATTGTAATTTTCATTTATTGAGTTTTCCTAAAGCCCGGCCTTTCCTGTTTGGGGATGAATGGAATTCAATTTAGGAATCGATGCTTTTCTCAACTAAGATTTTGGGAAATCAATTATTCCGCAGCAGGCTGGGCCTCGCCTTCCGGGCGTAGTTGGGAGGTGTCACATGAAGATACCGCGGGTCACGTCTCCCCGGTCCTTCCAGGAGGCCGGCTCCGCTCAGCCTCACTTCCCTTCCTCGCCGAAGCTCCTTAGATGTGCCTGCCCACAATTCCCATTTTACAGATGGAAAATCCAAGGAACTGGGAGGTCAGGTAACTCTCCAAGGAGCCGGACTGGCTGGGCATTCCGCTGGATGGGACCTGGGTCAAGTGATGGGCGGGAGAGATTCAGAGGTCCACTGGGGCCGGAGGGGCCTCTCTGATATAAAGCTTAAAAACAAAACAAAACAAAACAAAAAAACGACTGGGGGTGTGGCTCAGTGGGAGCCGCCGAGGCCGCCCTAATAGCCGGGGACCTGGAGAGCGAGGAGAAGGACCGTGTCCATGCCCTGCCTGCCCGGGGCTGGCTCCTGGGGAGGGCAGCTGTTCTAGACCAAAGGAGCAGAGATCTGCCCTGGATCACGGAGGACACCAAGGTCTGATGACTTAACCAGTGTGGCACTGTCACAGGAACAGAGACAGAGGGGCCCGTGGGACAGATCGATGACTCGGGAAACAGGGCTTGGGGGACGCTTGAGGATCCCTTATCCGAAATGCTCGGGACCAGACGTGCTTTGGATTTTGGATTTTTTTCAGATTGGGGAATATTTACGGACACGTGGAGAGCCATCTCAGGGGTGGGCGGGAGCCAAGTCCCCACACCAGCTTCTTGCCTGTTTCCTCCACGCCTCGGACACTCGGCCGCAAGATGATTTCCTCGATGTTTTTAACACACCTGCGTCTGGACTGCAATGTGTCACGTGGGGCCGGGTGGTGGTGTCAACTCAGTGCCCAAAAGATGGTTAGATTCTGGAGTATTTTGGATTTTCAGGTTCTGGATGCTTTCAGACCTGTACAAAGGAGTCGTTTAGAGTCAGTGAGGAAAGAAGGGACTGTTCTGTAAGAACTCAAGGCAATTTGTTAATTGAAAAAAAAAAAAATGCAAAACTTAAGTCCTCTCCACGCCTCCCGTCCTCTGCAAATCCTCCAAGTAAATTCCTGACGGATTAACATCAACATCTCTGGGTCCGTTAGAAAAATATAGGAGACCGTGTGAACGGTGTTGGTTTTCTTAAAGTAGCTCCAGGAAGCCAAGACCACAAAGGGACAGACAGATATGTTCTGCACCAACTTCAAAAACGCGTGACCAAATCGAGATGTCCAGCCGAGGGGAGATGGAGATGGAGAGATGCCGCGTCCTGAGAATGGAATGTTTTTTCCTGAAATAAAAAGGAAGGAGCTATCTGGCCGGAAAAGCCAGAAACCTGAAATTTATGTTGCTAGTTGGAAAGAGTCAATCTGAAAGGCGACATTCTGTGCAACTCCAGCCCATATGACCCAAACCGTGGGGCAGGAAAAAGATCAGTGGTTGCCAAGGGTTTGGTCCGAGTGGGATGAACAGGTGGGGCCCAGGAGACTTGCCACAGAGTATTCTATTCTGGATGAGCCTGTCCTGATGGGCTCAGGTGGATGGATACATTTGTCAAAACCCAGAGAATCCACAGTAGAAAGAAGGAACCAGATCATGAAGGATGGGTCTCGGTCACAGAGTATCGATATGCGTTTATCCACCGTTACAGAAGCAAGTCGTGATCCATAAGGGAAAACTGCACAGGCCCAGAAAGGGGTTTATGGGAGCTCTGTGCTTCATGCTCAGTTTTTTTAAATGAACCTAAAACTGCTCTTAGGAATGTTTAGCAGGGCACGGTGGTGCATATTTGTAATCTTGGCGGCTCAGGAGGCTGAGGCAGGAGGATCACACATTGGAGGTCAGCCTCAGCAACTTAGTGAGACCTTGTTTCAAAAAAAAACAAAAACGACTGGGGATGTAGCTCAGTGGCAAAACACCCCTGGGACCATCTCTGCTACCAAAAATAAATAAACTTTATCAGTGTTTTTTTTTTAATGTGCTATACAGGAGGAAAGAGAAACACTGGGCCATCGACCGTCCGTGCAGAGATAGGGTCAGTATCCTGTATAGACAGAGTCCTCACCGAGTGAGAAGGAAGTTGACTTTTCAAAAGCACGTGCTCACAGAGACAGTTGACAAAGGACACGGGCGGTGCATTCCCAGAAGACAAAATAAAAACGGTCAAGAAGCAGGTGAAGCCGCCCAGACTCACCTGTCACAAGGGAAATACAAAACCCCAAATGCTGGGCTGTCGTTTTTCACCATGTGACAGGCAAAAATTTTCAGGCTTTATGTTGGTGGGGGTTTGGGTGAGTCTTTGGGGACCTCAGCACCTGTCATTGTCACCCTCCTCCGTCCCTGGACTTCCTGACCCAGGACGTCCACACGGCCCTGAAAAGGCGCCTCCCTCTGAGGTCAGAGAGCACCGCGGAGTGACCCTGGCTGAGACGTGGCAAGGTCGAGTCCCCCGTCTGGGTGGGGCCTGGGCAAGTGACGGGCGGGAGAGACACAGAGGTCCACTGGGGCCGGAGGGGCCCCTCTGATCTGCCCCAGGGACTCCGCATTGGTTGCATGGGGACTAGCAAATGCTACAAATTAGGGCACGTCCCCCTTTTCCTTTTTATTTTGATTTTTTCAGATTTGCTGAGCATTCACCTCGCACCCTGGAAGGCAGGGTGTCCCCTCTCCCCAGGCTGGTTCGGGACTCGAGCCTCTTTCCCTCTTCGCTTCTGTCTCTCTTGTCCCCACTCCTGTCCTTACCGCCACCCTTTCTCTGGCCGCCTCTTTAGGAGTTAGGGAAGTGGTGGCGGGGCCAGCCAGGCGAGGGACAGGAGCATTCCAGGCAGCCCGGGTGTTCAGAGCCATCCACAGCGCGACCTCGGACCGACTTTACCACGAGGAGCTTTCATTTTCTTTCCTTTGAAATAGGAATGATCATAATCGGAGCCGCCACAGACAGCTTGCAGGTGTGACTGCCTCAGTCAGGGAGTGGCAATCACAGACTGTGATACGACATAGCAATGTGCAGTGGGCAACCTGGACAACGGTGCATGGGCCCTAATCATGCTCCTTACTTCGGCGGGTTGTTATGAAGATGAGAAGAGAGAACGTGGGAGGTGAAGGCGTCTGACTGAGGGCCTGGCATACAGGAGGCGCACAAGCATGGTGGCTTGCTCACTCTATCACTGCTTCCTAAGCTTAACTCCGTGTCACTTAGCCACATGCTGTGGTACCCACAAGGGCTCCAGCCACCCCAGTCCACACACCCACTTCCCACAGAGAAGTGCCCCGCTTTGAAAGAACCCTGGGCTCTGTAATGACTCACGTGCACTTGGCACCAGGCACCGAGGCCTCCTGCCTCTAGTCACTGGTGACCCAGCGCACCTGCCGTCATCCTCATTTGGGGTTTGATGGAAAGATTTGAGGCTCAGAGAGGTGAAGTGCCTTGCCCAGGGCCACACAGGAAAAGTACCAATGGAAGACAATTCACATTCGGATCCCTTGAGGCCAAAGTTTCTCCAAGCCAGAGCTTCTGAGCCACACAACTCACATTATAATCACTGCACCCACGGGCACATACACGGAACTGAATTTTTTTTAACCAAGTAATATTCCACTCCTGCTACAGTTGACGGTACCAGATGGCTCCTCTCCTTTTTTTTCTTGGGAGGGGGGTATACTGGGATTGAACTCAGGGGCCCTCACCCACCGAGCCCCATCCCAGCCCTATTTTGTACTTTATTTAGAGACAGGGTCTCACTGAGTTGCTTAGCACCTTGCTTTGGCTGAGGCTGGCTTTGAACTCGTGATCCTCCTGCCTCAGCCTCCTGAGCCATGTGCGCCATGTGCCCAGCTAGTGAAGACCTGCAGTTTGAAGGACACGCCCCAGGCTACTTGTCCCCGGAGAACTTAGAACACAGGCAGCAGCACACCACGGCCGTGGGCTGAATCCGGCCCCCTGCCTGCTTGTGTAAATAAAGTTTTATTGGGACACAGCCAGGATGCTCACTTACACAGTGCACAGAGACCAGACCTGAGGCCATGTACTCACCGGCCCTTTACAGAAAGGCTTCCGCCAGTGGCTGCCCTTGACCTCACCTGGGCTCTTTGACCTGGAAAACCCTCCCTCCCCTGGGCACGTCTCTCCCAGCAGGTGGCTCAGGGCCCTGGGGCTGGGGAGCGAGGTCCCCTCTGGCTTCTCTGGTGCTGACCCCTCTGTCCCGCCCACAGGCCTCCTGGGAATGGTCGCCCACATGATGTACACTCAGGTGTTCCAGGTCACCGTGAGCCTCGGCCCTGAAGACTGGAGGCCCCATTCCTGGGACTACGGATGGTCCTTCTGGTGAGTGGCGTTACTCCAGGTGACAGCCTGCGAGGCCCAGAGCCCTGGGGCCTGGGGGGCTTCAGAGGCCCGGCCAGGCGGGCAGGAGCCACGGCAAGGACTCAACGGGCCCCAGAGCCGGGCAGGGTTCCAGACCACGGCCCGCGAGTCACAGCCGGCTCACCCCAGTTCCCAGCGGTCCTCGGGCTCCGTGTCCTGTCCACATTTTTAAACCCCTGAAAATAAACCAATAAAGAATGTTCTGGGCCAGGTGAGGGTTAAGGAGATTGAGAGTCCAGCGTCGGTACACAGTCCTCCTCGGAGCACTGTGGGGTCTCATCTGTGACCACTCTCACACGACATCCCCAGCCCCGAGCGTTGTCACGGAGACCAAATGGTCCACGGTCTAAAATGTCTACTCTCGGGCCCTCGGCCAGCCGCTGCCCTTGGCCAGCTCTGGGAGTGGAGATGGGAGCCCGTGGGGCCTGGGGTCCTGGGGCCGGGGAAGATTCTGGTGGTCCCCCAGGGTAGGAGGGAGCCCTGGGTACAGGGGCTGGGTCAGCGCCTCAGAGTTCCACGTGCAGAAGAAAGAAAAGTCAGGGGACCTTTGCCTGTGGGTGGACACAGGGTGTTTATTCGTCCCTGTAACGGAAAGATCCGGTGGCTCCCCGGGGCTCTCTGCCCCCGGAATGGGAAAATCCACCTGCCTGAGTCCAAGCAAGGAGGAGAGGCCGCGGATCATGGCGCCAGAGGGCTGCTGAGCCTGGTGATGGACAGCATCACGCCTGCTTCTCCCTCTGAAGGGCTTGGGTCATTTTGTCCGTCTGGATTTGCCACCAAGGCCAGGGACAATGCCATGAGCTTATTGGCCCCGCCCAGCCAGGCCCGCCTCTGGAGCTAGGAATGAGTCCAAATCTCTCAAATGGCAAAAGAGTGGAACGGATGCTGATGAGCTACCGCAATGTCTGCTTCAGGTTCAGCTGGATCCAGGTGACCGGGTGCTTCCATCCAAAGCTCAGTCTTTCTCCCCCCCTTTCCTGTTTTGTTCCCTGTGTATCAGCTTCGTCCTCAAGCAGCTTCCCCCAGGTGGTGACAAAGATGGCACCTAGTGCATTTCCAGGCCTATCACAAATGTAGCGAAACCAGCAGAGAGATGGCTTCTTCCCAATACGGTCAGAAACACTTCCATTGGCTCAGTGAAGTCACGTGACCCTCCTGGAACCAATGAGAGAGGCTTGAGTCTCCTAGTCAAAAAGGATTTACCTTAAAGGGGCCTTGACCTGTTCACACCATCCCTCTTCCCACAAGCAGAACCATCCCAGGGAAACAGCTTGGCTCTGGCCCCTCTACCTTCCCTTCCCTGAGCAGTTCCTTCTTACGACCTTGACCTTGGAACACAGTCACCCTGAGCCAGAGAAGTGGACAAAGGAAGGGGGCTCACGTTTGAGAGTGGGCCGTGTGCACTGGAGTCGTGAATCATAGTGGAGCACAAGGCACAGAGAAGTCAAGGAGTCCGGCCTCGGGGTGAAGCACGTGGGCCTGGCACGGAGCAGGAGCCTGGTGACACCAGCACGTGACGAGGCCCAGAGCTCAGGGTCACCACTGTCCCCTCCACTGAGGGACGACAGAACGCGTGTCTAGCCAGGCTGGAAGGCCATGGGGACCAGGCTCCTGCTTCATCACAGCGGTGACCACCAGTGACGCTGTGACCTTGAGCCTGGGTAAGGCCACCGCACTCACTGCGAGCTGTGGGACCCAAAGGGCCACATCTGGGGAGCCTCCTGCCTGCCCTTCCTCCACCTCTGCCCCTCTGTCCCCAGGCACAAGAAGACCTGGGCCCCGGGCAGCAGGCAGAGTGTGGCTCCAGGGATGGAGGTGGTGGACCAGCCCAGGACACCAGCTGTGCCCAGCTGCCTCCCCTGCCCTTGACCCCAGGGGAGGAGTCGGTACCCCCACTTCAGGGATTAGGAAGCTAAGGGACATTCAGGTCTGTGGCCCCAAGTCACGTGATCAGCCTCGGAGGCTGCAGGTCACAGCCCTGGGCTGAGCCCGCAGGTTAGTTTGGCCACCGGGTTCTTTAAGTTTGGTCTGTGACATCCCCAAGGTCAAGGGTCCACCTCGATGCACAGATTTCCGTTTGTCCCTGCCCTTGGGACATCTCCAGGCCCTGACTGGCTTTGTACCCGGCATCTCCATCTGGGCCTCGGCTGCCCCAGGCCCCACGTGTCCCTCGCCCCACACTCCCCACCCCCTTCCCTCAGTGGCCCGCCTGGCCCTGCTCGGTTGTCAACATGGCAGGGGGTGGGAGTCCGTCCGCCGCCTTCTGTTCTGCATTCGGGCTCCACGGAGAGGAGGGCAGGTGGCCTCTTGGGCCCAGCACCCGGGGACCCCCATCCAGAGCAGACACGCCCTGGACCCATGGAGTGGGAGACCATGTGATCTAGGAGCCCAGAGGAGTTAAGCAATCTGTCCCAGGTCACAGAGCACAGAGTGGCACAGTGGTCCAGGAGCGTCCTTCCTCCTCCTGGGCGCCTCTCTGCACCCGACGCCCAGGCTCTGTGGAGCCCAGGGCCCTCATGGCGGCCTCCCCCCTCTCCAGCCCCCCAGGCCCTGCGGAATGGGCAGGACAGGCTCCTTCCTCGGTGGGGCCTCCAGCTGCCCCTCCCTCCCTGCAGAGCTGAGCTGGCGTCGGGGCAGCTGGTCCTCAGTGGGGCAGGGCTGCTGCTGCCCCCAAGACCTCAGGGGAGACTTCTGTGCTGTGCTTGTCACCGCCGAGTGGCTGCGTGGTCAGCAGGAAGCTGCCTTTACTCCTCCCCCGCGGGGCTCTGGCCTCCTTTTCTCTGGGACCAGGAGGGAGAGGGAGGTGGCTGCCCGAGGGGCCCTGAAGCCGTGGCCGGAGCAGCTGCGCCCTAGGGCCTGTGGGGTTCAGCTCCCCGCCTGCTGACTCTTGGGCAAGAAGGGCCAGGCTGGGGGGTAGTGCCCTGCTCCACCCCAACAGGGAACCTGGGCTTCTCGGGCCTCCCTCCTGGTCACTCACCATCTTCCCACGGGGCAGGGCCGGGAGCGCTCATGTGGATCTGCAGCCGCTCCTCAGCCCCCCTCCGCCCCTCCCCCTGCAGCTCCTAGAGGACAGAGTAGGTGGACAGCCACCCCTTCCTCGTCACCCCTCCCCTCTCCTCCCCAGTGTCCACTCTCCCCCAGCTCCCAAAACCAGGCCATCCACCCACAAGTCTCATTGCACCAACTCAGAAATGCAAGCCACAAACTCCTGGACGTGTCCCAGCCTGAGTTTTCAAGGTCCTCACTGTCCTGTGAGGGTGCCCTCTGGGGCCTGAGGGCGAGAGGGACAGGGAGTCGAGGGCTCGTGGACAGAGCCCTGAGCCCCTCAGCCACGCGGACACCAGAAGAGCATTTCCATATCTGTTTTTAGCTGTTTTCATTGGATCTGCATTTATTCACTCACCCCTCAACTATTTATTGAGCACCCACTATGTGCCAGGCACTGTGCTAGGTGCCAAGCTATCGCAGTGAACCAAACAAGGCTCTCGTTTTCCTAATGCTGACATTTTGGAGTGTGAGAGGAGATGGGATGATCAGAAGGAGAAACGCTCAGGAATTCCACTTCCAGGAAGTCGGAGTCGACATTCTTTTCCCCTCTTCCTCCTGCTCAGTACAGCTAGAATCCTTGGGTGTTAACACATTAAACAAGAAGACTCCGGGAGGTGGATCAGGGAATAACGCTTTGGTGAGTTCTGTCATCCATCCCAGACTCCGGCTGAAGTTGGAAACTCAGAGATGCCCAAAGGCACAGAACAAAACAAACAAGTGAATCCACCCCGACCTGGGCCAGCAAGGGATGGGGAACCCATTTTTGCTTTAATGAGGCAGCTCAACCTCCCTGTTTACCCAAGTTCTGCCAGAGTCGGGGGACCCACCCACTAGACAGTAAAAAGCCCCACCCCCAGTGCAGTGGAGGCCACATGCCTCCACCAGGCAGTAGCTAGGAGAGCCTCCTTCTCCCAGCTGGTACCTGTCAGAGGAGAAGCAGAGGTGAGAGGATTTTTGCCTAACGGTGATGAGACCATTGCTCCTCCCCATGTGTCAGTGGAGGCTGCTTGAGGGGCTGTAATGAAGGACCCTTGCCCCTCCCAGCCAGAGGCCTCATTGGAGCCAGAACCCAACCCTGCTTAGCATTAACCAGGAATCATCTCCATCTTAAATGCCAAAGGTAGCCCAGCGGGAAATCCAGACTCCCACCCTTACCTGGAAGTGACCAGGCAGAGCACCCCTTCCATTCAGCACGGTGTCAGAGGGAGTCGGCTAATGCAGAAGGTTTACACACGATCCAGAGTCTCACAAAAAATACCCCAAAATGTCAAGGTTGCAGTTGGAATCACTGACCATCTCAAGAGCCAGGGAGATCTCAACTTGAATAGAAAAAAAAAAAAAGGCAGTCAATATGAAAGAAGGATCAAGGCTTGTCGTCGGAGAAAATGCCCATTTATTGAGGAACAGCTCTGCATATTTATAGAGCCAGGGGGTGGTTTGACAGTTGGCATTGGGTGCTTTTTGATTGGTGGGTAAGGATCAGGTGAGCCAGCAGGGCTAGTCTGATTGGTGGGTAAGGATCATGTGAGCCAGCGGGGCTCACCATTGGATGGCAGGATCATGTGAGCCAGCAGGGCTTACCATTGGACGGCTCTTCTTGGGGGATGGGGAAGTTAGTCTTTGGAGCCAGGATGACTCCCAACACAATAGACCCCAATATGGAAATGAGAGAGATGTTGAAATTATCTGATAAAGGTTCTAAGGCACTTGTGATAACAATATGCCAACAAACAATTGCAAACACCCTTGACAAAATATGAAGTCTTCAGAAAGAACTCAAAGATATGAAGAAAAATTGAATGGAAAGTATAGAGTTGGAAAGCATAATGACCAAAATAGAAAATGGATTGGGAACAACAGATGAAGGACTCAGTGGAATCAATGAGAGGACAATGTACGTGACCCCATCTCTGAACAAAATACAGAAAATAGACTTAAAACATGAACAGACATTGGTGTTCCAGAAGGAGAAGAGAAAGATGGTAGGACTTAAAAAGTACCCAAATGATGGCTGAAAACATCCCAGATTTTATAAGACATGAATCAACAGAGTCAAGAGATTAAATAGTAGAACCCAAAGAAAGCCATACCAAGATACATCCTAGTCAAACTTAAAAACTTTTTCTTTCAGAAATTAGAAGAGGGAACATTTTACAATTTAAAAGTTGATGAGATGCGTATTATCCTGTGCTTTGGACAAGTGTTTTTGCTGCTGTGACCAAAAGACCTGACCTCTTGGTTTCAGAGGTCTCAGCCCAGGGACTGCCAACTCTGTGGCTGCAGGCCAGGGTGAGGACATCATGGCATAAGGGGGTGGATAAGGAAAGCAGCTTGGGACGTGGCAACCGGGAAGCAGAGAGAGAGCTCAGCTCACCAGGGACAAAAGGCATGCTCCCCATGACCTGCCCCCTCCAGCTGCACCCCACCTGTCCATGGTCACCCCCCAGTTAGTCCATTCAGGGGGATTAATGTGCCGATGAGGTTGAGGCTCTCCTGACCCAGTCACTTCACCCCGAGACTTGCTTGCGTCGTCTCACACCTCAGCTCTTGGGGGACACCTCATATCTGAACCCCAACATCCCGACATCAGAGCAGACAAAGACAGTGCCTGAGAGAGAACCACCAACTAGTGGTTTCTCATGAATATAGATGTTAGAAATCCTTAACGAAATAGTAGCCAACGGGGAGTCATGAATATTTATAGAGTGGATTTTATTCTAGGATGAAAGCTGGTTCAATATTTGAAAATCAGTCAGTGTCCGCCACCCTGTTAACAGGCTAAAGAAGAAAAAAAAAAAATCACAAGATCATATCAATTGATGAAGAAAAAGAATGACATAAATTGAAATCTATTTACATACAACTGGAAAAAAAGAAAAACATCTCTCCCAGAAAATTAGGAGTAGAGGGAATTTCCTCAATGTGATAACTAACATCTACAAAATACCTATAGTGAACATGGTGCTTAATGTTGAAAGACTGAATGTTTTCTGATGAATGTCGGGAATACCACTGTTATTCAAAATAGTGTGGAAGTTCTAGCTAGTGCAATAAAACATGCAAAGGAAATAAGACTCATGCAAGTCAGAAAGGAAGAAATAAACTCTGCCTACGTGTAAATGACAGAAAATGTAGAAAAATCTAAGGAGTCTACCCCACAAAACGCTTAGACCTAATCCCAAGCACAATCTTAGGGTCTGAGATGAAAATACAAAATCACTTATATTTCTATAAACTTAACAATGAAAATTTGGACCACACAACTAAAAACATGATACCAAATGCTAAAAAAAAAATATGAAATGGGCTTCAATTCCACAATTCCATAGGACTTGCATGCTGAAAAAAAAAAATCACAACATACCAACGAAAGAAATAAGTGATCTTGATAAACAGAGAGACATACCATGTTCATGGACCAAAACACTCCACATAGTGAAGCTACCAATTCATACATTGGCAAATAGGTTTCATACAACACCTGTCCGTTTTCAGCAAAATTTCCTTTAGAGATAAATAAGAATATTCTGAAAATTATATGGAAAGGTGAGGAAACTCAAATAACAGAAACAATTTTGAAAAAGAAGAATGAAATGAGGTGGGACAGTTCTACCCAATTTCAAGACTTATTACATACTTCTGGTAATCCAGGCTGAGTGATACTAGAGCAGAATCAGGCACCTAAAAATAGACCCAGGTAAGTTGCCCAACTAATTTTGACAAAGGTGCAAATTAGTTTGGACCTAATTTGCACCTTTCTAACAAATGGTGCTGGAGCTATTAGACACGTCTAGGAAGAAAAATCAGCACTGATCTAAATTCCACACCTTCTCCAACAATTAATGCCAAACGGGTCACAGACTTACACACAAACTATGAAACTTTTAGAAAAGTATAGGAGAAAATCTTTGGGATCTTGGACGAGGCCAAGAGTTCTTAGACTAGACATCAAAAGTGTAAAAGGGAAAAACTGATCAATTAGATTTCCTCAAAATCAAACCCTTTGATTTTGTAAAACAGCCTTTTAAGAAGTTGAAAAGAGCAGCTATGGAAAGGAAATATTTACAAATCACACATCTGACGAAGGATTAAGGGGTAGGCTCTCTAGAGACCTCCCAACACTCAACAGTCAAGAAAAACAAAATCATCCAATTAGAAAATGGGCAAAAGAACACACATGTTGTTAAAGATGATATACAGAGAGCATATCAGCAAGGGAAAAGTTGTTCAATTCCATTAGCAATTGGGGAAATGCAAACTAAAGTTGCGATGATATTACGGCACATCTATCAGAGTAGCTAAAGTGAAAAACAGCAGCAACAGCAAATGCTGGTGAAGATGTGAAGAAATTCACACATCACCGTTGAGAATGCTATTCAGCAATGTAAAGAAACTGTGCATCTACACGATAATTTGGATGAGTCACCGGAGAAGTATGCTGACTGGACAAGCCAATCCCAAGCATTCAGACTATACGATTTCATTTATATAACATTCTTGAAGCAATGAAACTCTAGAAATGAAGAACAGATTAATGGTGGTCAGGGATTGATTGGGTGAGGTCACTAATGGATGTGCTTAGAAATGGCAATAGGAGGGATTCTTTGTGCATATTTAGAATTCCCACCCCCCTCCCCCAAAATAAACACTCTGCGCTCTCATGATTGACAGGCCCAGTGATAATGGCTTCCACTCCTTTATGACCCTGTTTTCTCTTGGTTCAGCTTCATGATCGGGCTGGGTGGTGGCGAGAGGGTCCCTGCTGCTCCTGGGCCACCAGCTTAGCACTCTTGTAGGAAGATGAGCCCTGTTTCCCCAGAGCTCGTGCCAAAGTCCTGAGATTGAGTTTCCTGGGCCTGACCAGGGTCATGTGCCCATCCTTGAACCAGGGTTGAGCCTGGAGAGAAGCCGCAAGCTCATTGGCCGGGCCTGGGTCACATGCTCACCCCCAGGGGTTGGGGGTGGGGCTCCTCTGCACCTACCAGGTGACCTGCGAGGAGTGCAGGGGTGACCCTCCCAGAATCGGGGCCTGTTAGCCGAGAGTGGGATGGACCCTGCCCCACGGTCCCCCGTCAAGTTCTGAGTTTTCATGGCACCAACACAAAGAGACACCCTGAGCCTCATTCCTGGGGGGGGGAGAGGGTGATTGGAGCCCCTCGGCCCAGATGTTCAGCCCTCGTCCAGTCGTCTGTGAGTGGCTCTGGGTGCTGGGCTTTGGTGGACAAGGAAGTTCTTAGAAAGGCCAGGCCCATGTCCCCAAACTGTGTTACAAACACACGGGGCGTCTGGGAGACCTCAGTGAGCTTCTTATCACAAAGAACCTGGGGGAAGTTACCGCTATTGGCGGGTTTGGCGTTGAAGGAAATAGATGATTATTGGCGATTCCTCTGAGAAAGGCCGAGTCCTCGGATTTTCCCTTGCTCTGTCGTTCTGTGAAGCTGGCCAAAGAGTCTCAGTGGGCGCAGGAGGTGGGCTACCCTGACCTTGGGAAGTGCTGGGGGGTGGTGTCCAGAGACCAGCTTCCGAAGGCCGCTGTGCTGCTCGGGAAATCGGGCAGAAATTGGCTGTCATAATCCCTAACCTCAGAGCAGTGTCAGATCTGAGTGAGCCGGTCCCCGGGAGCCCCAGGGGCTGGGACAGTGCAGGGCTGCAACAGCCCCAAGGAACCCCTGGGGTGGAGGAAGCCAGTCCTCAAGACAGAGACTGGAAACAGGGACCAGAAACCAAGTCAGGAGGAGCTGGAGCCGGGCAGGGCCCCCACTCCTGGAACCGAACACAAACGCAGCTTTGGTCACGGGAATCGGGCACGAAGCAGTTTCTAGAGTTGACACGTGGCCAGCTGAGACCCCGAGCTCACCCCTCCCTTCCCTCTCTGTCCTGGGGTGGACAAGAGACTCCCCAGCTTTGGGCTCAGCACCCCCGTCCAGGGAGGGCAGCCCAGCCTCCCCGCCACCCTGGGAAAGACACGGAATAGGGACCAAGCAGGTCCCTGTGACCACAAACCATGTCACAGAGAAGCAGGGAGCGGGAAGCCTGGTGATAGTGACCACAGTGACGAGAGTCAGCTTCCCGAGCGCCTCCTCGTTCCATTCCAAGATGTGTTCTGTGGGCCGTCTTGATCCATGTGACAACCCTGTGAGACAATGCCATTGTGAACGTCCACCAAAGTGACACAAAGAATGTGAGGCCCAGAGGCTAGACATCGTGCCACACGTGAACAAAAGTTCTCATCTCCTCCTCCATCATCCCCTCCGGTTAATCCCCATCCTCACGCCAGTGGCCAGTGTCCCCACCTCCCACAGGGAGTGGCCCGTGGTCTGTGGATGCCCGAGGCCACCTCACCTCTCTGCCTCTGCCCGGATGTTCCCTTCAGGGATGCCCTTTCCCTTGGCCACCGCGCATCCTGCCAGACGCAGGTGTGACCTTCCTGATGCCAGCCCTCCGGGACAGGATGACTCGCTGTCCTCCTCCCTCCCCTCTGGGAGCGCTGTCCACGGTGCAGTGGACCCTGACTCTCCCCAGATCCTACTGGGAGTGGGCGGCCAGGTCTTGTGCTGTCCTCAGCCGCATCTGCTCAGGGTGTGGCCCAGAGGGGACAGGCACGAAGCCCCGGTGAATGTGGGTGTGTGCGTGGGTTTCCTGTCCCCTGCGCCCTCACGGTGGCGTGTCCCCGATCTCTCGGCAGCCTGGCGTGGGGCTCCTTCACCTGCTGCATGGCGGCCTCTGTCACCACGCTCAACTCCTACACCAAGACGGTCATCGAGTTCCGGCACAAGCGCAAGGTGTTTGAGCAGGGCTACCGGGAGGAGCCGACCTTCATCGACCCCGAGGCCATCAAGTACTTCCGCGAGAGGTCAGCGCACACGGGCACCTCTGGCCACCTTTGGGAAACCGAAGCTCGGGGTCTGGCCTCAGCAGGCGCCGGGGCCATCCAGAATCGGGAGTGACGGACAGGGGGGTGGGGGGGGGAGGGGGAGGGGAAGGGGGAGGGCAGGCAGGGGGGAGGGCAGGGGGGAGGGCGGGGGGGGAGAGCCTTCTGGATTCCACTGTGTTGAAGTCCTGAGCTATTTAATGCTCTGTGGGCCGTGGAGTCACCTCGGGCTTAAGTGACCAGACCGTGGGAAGCCGCGAGGGGGGCCAGTTTGAGCACTTGCCGTTTGGCCCTGTGCTACTTAATCCAAGTGCCCAACCAAGATTCCTTCCCGGGCTCTGTCCTGGCCACAGGGGGATGGCCCTGAAGGTCAGGGACTGCATCTGGTCACCAGTCTTCAGAAGCCAGATGGGGACAGAGGAGGTGACGGTAGAGGGTGGTTAGATGGGTGGACTGGTGGGTGGGTGGACGAGTGGTCAGTTAAGTAGGGGAGTGGACTGTGGCTGGGTGGGGGTGGCTGACGGCTGTGGATGAGCAGGTGTGACGATGTGAGCAGGGGTGGGCGGGAGGGCAGGAGGGGAGTGGGTGGCCGGTGGCCGGTGGACAGGTAGTTGGATGGTGGACGAGTAGCCAGGCCGAGGATGATTAGGCGAGTGAGAGATGAATGGAGGGAGGGAGGGGTGAGTGGAGGGACAGACAGGCAGAGGGGGACATCAGGATTTCAGAACCTGGGGCCACCCCGAGGAGGAGCCAGGACACCTTCTCCTGTGGCCACTCAGACCTCAGCTGCCGGACCCCGGCCTGTCGGAGCCCCCCCTGAGGAGTTCAGTGCTGCTCAGGGCCCCCTCGCTCTCCGCTGCTCCCCCCCTGGCCCTGGGGACAGCTGCCATGGCCACTCCTTGCCCAGTGCCAACTGCACCTCCCCAGCTGCCCCAGCCCCTTCCCTGGCTCATTCTGCACCCCCAGAGCACAGCCCCCGGCCTCAGCCTGGGCCACTCGCAGGGCCCTGTCTGCCCCACCCCCAGCCCCCTCCATCAGAGGCCGTGACAGAGCCACTCGACCCACGTCCTGGCACACAGCCTGTCCTGCCTGGTCCTGACGCACTCGGCCTGACCTGTGGGTCCAGGAAGAGCCGAGCTGGGCCTGGGGTCCCTGCTCCCAGAGCTGGGGACGGAGCCCAGGGCCTCCCCGAGCCACACGCCAACTCCCTGTGTCTCGCCTTCCCCTGAGGGAGCACAGCTGAGAGCCTAGTCCTGAGCCGCGGCGGCATCCCGCCTGCCTGCGCCAGGCCCCAGGCGTCACTGTCATCCTGTGACCTCCCCGTGCAGCAGGCACTCCTGGGCTGAGGAAAACTGAGGCTCAGAGAAGTGAAGACACTGACTTCAGGTTGCACAGGGATGGGAAGGGGTTTGGGTGCCAGGTCTCTCCTCTGTCTCTCTCCAAGATCAAAGAAATTCAGAGCTGGCAGTGTCCCCAGGGCAGAGGAGCCAGAGCCAGGATCCACCCAGGTTGCCACTTCTGTGTCCACACATTGGACACATCTGCAGGTGCTGGTGGGTGGCAGGCAGCCGGGGGACTCCTCACTGCACATCCACAGGACCCTCTCACCTGCGGGATCCCGCACCCGGGATGTGCTTTTGTCCGATGCGTGGGGCTCCCCAGAGTGCTCAGGAGATGGGTGCTCCTGGAGGCTGGTGGGAACTCCTCCCCCCCAGAGGTCCCCAGTGGGGCTGAGCTGCAGTTGCCCAGAGCAGGAGCCTCGCTCTGAACCCAGTCTTTACTGTCCCCTGCCCTTCCCCGTCCGGCCCCGTCTCTCCCCACCTGTGCTTCCCGGGACACCTCCCACATGAGCTCCCTGTCTCCAAATCCCTACCCCAGGGTCTACTTCTAGGGCAGCCGGAGGAGAGGTACCTTTCAGTGCCAGGGAACTAAGCAGGGCCTTAGGGACCAGCCAGCCGAGTCCGAGCAGGAAGGGAGGAGAGGAGGCTGGGGCTGGGGGGGCTCTGTTCGCTCCACGAGGCTCATGGGAGTTTCCAAGGGAGGCGCGTGGGCCGTGGGGGGCCACAGGAAGCCCTCTCTGACTGTCCCAGACCTTTCTGGGACCACTGGTTTCTTTCCTCTGCCACAGGGGCCCCCTTCTGTCCCTGGACGCACCAAGCTCGTCCTGCCTCGGGTCTTTCACTTGCTTGGTCTCAGCTCAGCCGTCCCCGGTTCAGTGACTTCAGTCCCAGGACAGGTTAGGCCAGCCCCCAGGCTCACCCTGGCCAAGCCATGGACCTCCCGGGGCCAGAGTCGGTGCACAGACGCGTGAATAAGCCCACGTCAGCAGGTGTCCCGTGGGGGCTGCGGCCTGTTGTCACCTGGGCGGTGGGCAGCGCACCCCGTGGCTTGCCTGAGGGCAGTGGCACTGGTCCTGCTGGGGGAGCACCCGGGAGCCGTGTGCACCCCAGCAGCAGGCGCTGCGGCTCTGTGGTGCCCCAGATCTGGCGGCGCCCAGCGGCTCAGGCCCAGGCTGGGAGCTGCTCAGCATATGTGCAGAGGAGCCTTTGCACATTCATAACGCGAACATTATGCAGAGGTTCATCAAATTTTATTTCCCTTCCCCTCTGAGGAGAACGTTTCAGCTTAGCCGGGCTGTTCTATTTTTTTCTTTCTTTATTTCTTTCTCTTTTTTTTTTTTGCCTCCTTCCCTGCAAAATGATCGGTGTGCACAGGTCTCTGTGCAGGTTGGCAGGGGCTACCCAGCAGGCTGAAGGGCTGCGGTGGCCGGCCTCCCTGCAGCCACATCCAGGGACAGGAGGGAGGGGGTCTCCTGTTCCTTGGGGGACAGAGGTGCTGTGGAAAGAGCCGGGCTCTGGAGGCCCCTCCTGGAGTGTGTTTTCTGGTTCTGTGCCTTGGCTGCGGCTGTGTGACTTGGAGTAAGGTGCTGAGCCTCTCTGGGCCTGTTTCTTGTGGCCTATGACAGGAGATTCCAGAACTTATAGTGTCCCAGGAAGGCTCGTGTCTGATACCTCTGTGACACGCAGGACAGAGTGCCTAGAACGTGTGTGTGTGTGTGTGTGTGTGTGAGAGATAGAGAGAGAGAGAGAGAGACCCTGTCCCTCTGCTACTCATGCCTGGCTGGCCTAGGGGAAGCAGGGGCTGGGCAGCCATCGGCCAGATGCAGCCGGAGCCGGAGAGGCTCTGAGGTGCTGCTAACAGCCCTGCTGCCCCCCACCAACCCGCACCTGGCACGTCTCCAAATGCCTGAGATGGGACTTTGCTTGTTTCCATAGCACAACTGTGAGATGTTGTCATTGTCCCCATTTTACAGATGCAAAATCGAGGCCCAGAGAAGTGACATGACTTATCCAAGGTCACTCAGCTGGTAAGTACCAGAGCTGGGGTCTGGCCCCAGGCCACGGTCAGCAACCACGCTGTGCAGCGCTCCGCACTGGTCACTGGCGTCTGCCCAGCACTGAGGGGACCTGGGCTCACCTGAGGTCCTCAGAGCTAGGGCAGAGGGGCCTGGGCTGCCGTGTGCTGGGGGGTGACCTCCCTGGCGCCCCCAGTCCCCATAGCAGGGGGGAACCGCGTGACCCCACCCCAGCCAGGGCTCTCTGGCTGTCCTCCTGGGGACGGGGGACAGGGTGGTGGCCTTTGGGGACTGATGGACAGAGGGCGAGGTGCCCCTTCCCAGCCCAGCCCTTTGCCACCCAGGGCCTGTTGGGTCTTTCTCCCAGGGGCCTGCCGTGGGCACTCGGGGTTGGCAGACTCTGATGGGTCGGGGGCTTTGAAACTGCGCTGTGTGTGGAAGAAAGGCGTGTGGGCGCGTGTGTGTGCACGTGCGTGTGTGCGTGCAAGTGTGTGTGTGCGTGTCTGTGGGGGTGTCTGTGTGTGTATTTGTGTGTGCGAGTGTGTGCGTGTGAGCTCGAGTGCACACATGGGGGACAGTGGGCATGCGCTGGCTCTGGGGCAGGGACGGCCAGTCTGGGCTCTGAGAAACATCTGGAATTGAAGTGTCCTGGTGTCACCCTGCCTGCTGTCCCTAAGGACCGCCTCTTGGCAGGGCCTCATGCGGGGAGCTGGGTGCGAGGTCGGCAGAGCGGGCTGCCATGGCCCCGTGTCCTCCGTGGCCCAGCGGCTCTGGGAGACCCAGGGGCACCCTTCAGGCCTGGGTCTGCTGAGCAAGCGCCCGCCTGGCCTGGGAGCAGGGCCCGGGGGACCTGGGGGCAGCCGCGCTCTGGCCACGCCCCCGCCCCGCCCCCTCCTGCGCAGTCCTGACTCCTGTCCACTCGGGGTTTCCATCTGCCTCCTTCCTGGGGGTCCCGGGCGGGGGCTGGTCTTTCTTGCCCCCATCTCCAGGGCCCAGAGCCAGGGGCGCTCAGTGACCTTGGCCCACTGCGGGCACCGCCCAGGTGCCTGCCCGCCATCTGCCCCCAGTCCACGTGGAAAACACCAAGAAACAGACCCGAGGTGGACTCCAGTCTGCACCACCAGCGGGGTCCCCCCCCTCCCCGGGCAAGTCTCCTCCCCTCGGGAGTCGTTCTGCCTGGAGGCTGATGCACAGCGACCAGCCGGTGGTTAGGGTCCCGAGACAGGAGATTGGACCAGGGGCTCCCCCTCCCTGACCCCGCGGGATTTCACTCTGAGCATCAGACCCTCCCTGACGGAGAAAGGGGCCGGGGCGTGGCGCAGACCAGTAGCCCTTGGCCGATCCTGCCTGAAGACGGAGTTTCTTTACTCACTCTGGTGGATTTCAAATGCTTAAATTTTGGCTAAGTTTTAAAATCAGGAAATTTCATATTAAAAGTTTAGGGTTTTGAGCTGGGCACGGTGGAGCACGCCTGTCATCCCAGTGGCTTGGGAGGCTGAAGCAGGAGGATCCCAAGTTCAAAGCCAGCCTCAGCAATGGTGAGGTCCTAAGCAACTCAGGGAGACCCTGTCTCTAAATACCATACAAAATAGGGCTGGGGATGGGGCTCGGTGGTCGAGGGCTCATGAGTGCAATTCCTGGTACCCCGACCCCCCAACCCCAAATTAAGGGTTTTGGCTTCTCATAAGAAAGCAGAGGATCTGGCCACGCGGGCTTCCTGAGCCTGTTTGAAGCAATGGGCTGAAGTGTTTGAGTTTGCAGTCCCCTGTCCACAGCTCAGTGAGCACAGCAGAGTTTTGATGGGTGCCCTTAGGAGAGCTCCCGGAGATAACCCCAAGCAGGAGGGGTCAGTCCCATCCTGGTGGGAGACTGAGGCTAGAACAGGCTTCAGGCCGGACCGGAGATCCTTGAGCCACGTTTTTCAAAACCATGAATCCTTCACCAGACAGACCCGTGGTGAGGGAAGGGGGGCACTTTAGACACAGGGAGTGACATGAACGAAGGACAAAGGGGGCAAATAAACCCAGAGCGTTCAGGAAAGTCTCTGCCGTTGGGTGGGATTTGAGAGCAAGGTGTGGGTGGGCGGAGAGCTCAGCTCTGTTCCTTCTCTTATCCTCCCACTGTACTTGGGGTGGTGGCTGCTATTTCACTAGTACGGGCTGAATCTGCAGACAAGACAGAAACTGCCTGATGCCCTGTCCCTCGGTGCCATCGTTCACCCGGGGGCCAGCCGAACCTTGGCCTCTGCACACGGCGCAGGGGCGACCGGGCCAGGGCTCCACCAGCTGGCCCCGCCCTCCCGGCAGCACGTGGCCCGCCCGCCGCGCTCCCAGGCCTGTGTGGGGACTTTGAAGCTTGTCTCCACGTCCTCACCTCCCACTCACCACGCCACACGCTCCAATCTGGCGTCCACCCCCTCGCGCCACCAGACGGCTCTCAGCGGTGACACGCAGCCTCCGATTGCTCTTCCCCGGGAGGGGCCAGCCCATGTCCCCCTCTGGCCTCAGTCCCAGTGGCCACGGGGCCCAGGGGTCTACATGGCACCCAGGACCACCTCCAGCTGCCTCTCAAGGTCACTTCAGGTGGACAGTCCATTCCTGGCACTGACCCCCTACCACCCGCCTCATCTCCACCTCTAAGTGGCCCGGCCAGTCTGCAGGAGCCAGGGGCTGCATGTCCCCCTGGGCCACTTTCTTCACCCCCACACCCTTCCCTGGGGACAGGGTGCCTTCTCCCCAGTCACCCTGGTCCCCCTTAACCCTGGTCTCACTTTGCAAAGTTTCAGGGACCTGCCGCTGACCAGCGTCTGACAGGATGAAGGAAAATTCTAGAACTAAGAAATTCTCAGGTTTCCGATGGTTTGTGGCAACCTGTTGTCACTGTCCCGTTCTGGGAGTGGCTCTGTCGTGACTCTCGTTGTGTCTCGTTTATACACTAAAATTGATCCTGGGAAAAATCAGGGTGTCCTTCTAGAGGGTTCTCCCTGTCCACGGTCCCAGCATCCGCGGGGGTCCTGGACCGACTATCCACAGAGAGGAGGGACGACTGCAGGTCACCTCTGCCCGCTCCTGCCCGCCACTCTGAACCCAGCAGCTCCTGTGTGGCCCTTGTGTCTCCATCTTTGTCCCTGCCGCCCACGTCCCTTCCTATGCTAATGGCCAGGGTTGCTCTGACCCTCCTCCCGTCTCAGACACCGGAGTCCTTTCTCATGGCCTTCGGGACAGACACCAGCTCCTTGTCGAACTCTCCAGCCTCGGGGTTCCTCAGACCCCGCCCCTGTGCCCAGTGACCCCGGGCCTCTGCAGTCACCCAGCCCGGTCATCCTCCTGCCTCGGTGGCTCTGACCCGTCCTCTCCTGCTGGACCTGTCCCCAGCATTTCCCCCACTGTTCTACGGTCAAGTGGTGAGCAGTGTCACCACCCTGGTGTCCCCCACCTCCCTCCGTGACTGCCCACCCCACTGCTTCCTGGTGTCCAGTCTGGGCTGGGGAGGGGGCTTCACGGTGTCGGTGGTGCCCTGGTGGCTGGGGGAACCCTTTCAGGTTGTCAGAGGGGCTGGGGCTGGAGGGTGGGTACCACGCAGGTGAGCGTCCCAGGTCCCAATGTCCTGGCCGTCATCATCAGGGTGTTTGCATTTATGGGTCCCCCCCCCTTCTGGTGCTGGGGATTGAACCCAGGGGGGCTTAACCGCCGAGCCCCACCCCCAGCCCTTTTTTATATTTTATTTAGAGACAGGGTCTCGCTAAGTTGCTGAGGCTGGCTCTGAACCTTCGATCCTCCTGCCTCAGCCTCCTGAGCGGCTGGGATCCCAGGCGTGGGCCACTGCGCTGGGCACAGATCTCTTTAAGCCCAGTAGTGCTGGAGGGGGGGAGACTGTAGACCACCACAGAGATCGGCCAGGGCATGGACGCTGGGCACGACTTTATGTTCTTCTCTGTTCTTCTCCAAATGCTTTGCACCCTGATATCTCTCTCTCTCTCTCTCTCTCTCTCTCTCTCTCTCTCTC